ATAGCTCAGCTATGCTTTTCATACAAGCCTACCAGTGTTTCTTTGACTTGATGGAATATGATTTTTAATTAAGAAATTAACAAACCAGTTTTATGCTGCCTCAGTCTTCTGGGTCCCACAACGGTTTCTCTCCGAAGTAACTGGTTATAATTTTCTTAAAATCAATTTCAGCCTCTTCCTTAGTACAAATCTGGATCTGCAGCACTCCTCCTCTCACCCAGAACTATTAGTTATAATTTCGGACCAGTTTCAGCCTGCAAGGGAGGCCAGAAGCCCAACGTTGTTGGCAGCTGAGGTTGTGGAGGTTGGAGGTGCAGGGGAGAGGTTGGAATTGGACAGAAACGATAACTGGTGATAAATACTGATGACCAGAAATATATGTTGATTTCTTCAAGTGTCAGTTTTCAATAAAATGAATATTGAATCATACAAGGCCTAGATTTTATTGCCAAAATCCTCAGTTGACTGTACAGATAGGTTTGTGTCATGGATGCAGTGTTCCACGGGTAGTTCATTAGTGTGGAGGGATAGGTTGGATGTGGCTTGTGATACGTTCATAGCAGCACCACATTCAGCGTCAGCTGTTCACCTTAGTGTACTACCCAAACTTTCCGTACTACGTTCTGTGACACCACAACTACCTTGCCAGCAGCACCCAAACGTACCTACAGTAAAACTAATTTGAGCGTGATGTGTGCTGAAACCAGAGCAGTGAATAGAGTGTGGCTTACATATTTACAAGGAGTATCTCGTTAGTAAAGCTTCCACAGAAGTGGTAGTGCTGGTTAAGATCTTGTCTACTTTTAGGTGCATCTGCAGTCATCTGCTTGGTTAGCAGGCATTTCTGTATTTTAACTATGACTTTCTCTCTAAGAATTCTAGTATAGGGGTCCAAAGTAGAGCTCTGAGCAAATAAAAAGTTAAATCCCTTAGTAAGGAGGCCAGACTAATTGCATCTTAAAGCATTTCTGATATTTTATTAAAATAATGTCCCTGACTTAAAATACAATCAGGAAACTTGAGAAACTGCATGTATATATATAGATGAGTTTTGCTCAAAAGTGTTACTCTCCTAATGTGGTAGTACGCTCACCTAGTAAGGATGTTATAAGGCATTTTCACACAATCCCTTTCGATTCATTAATTACAATGATAGAAATCGAACATGGCAGGAACTTTAATCAACTGTTTAATGCCTGCAGCAGTCATCAGGATTTTCCTTTGATGTTGTTTTAAAATACTAAATCTATTTATTATGTGTGCTAGTGAGAAGACATATATTACCTTTTTTTGTCCAATTGGCAAAGAATGAAGTTGCAACAGTTTGAGCAAGCCCGAAGCTATAGTAGGACTTCAAGGACATAGCCTACTCTTTGCTAAAATAAATATTACATTGTACTAACTTGTTCAGCTTCTTGCAACTCGGCAATTCCTACAAATAAACTTATCTATTTCCAATTTCCTTGAATGGTAAGTTAGGTACCCACTTGATAATCATCATTTAACAAATGATGCTAATTATGTCTGTTTACCATTAGTTTTTCAGGCTAAAGGTGAAAGGCATCAATGACTCCCTGTGAAAGTTAATTATTATTTTTAGATATAGTGGCCTTTAACTGGCCAATAAAGATTTCTTTCTTACTGTATTTTAAAAATAATTTATTTCGATTATTCTTTTAGTGATAGGTAGAAATAAGTCCTGAGGGAGAAAGGCTTTCTGTCTGACCCTACATGAAGAAATCTGTAGAGCTCATCTGTTGTTAAATAGCTATGATTTGAAGTTTATACTGGGATTGGCAAGCTTCACCAGAAATTAAAATGTTTATGGAGATAGGTTACATGAAGCCTGTGAATTTTTTGTAATAGCTCAGTAAGAGTCACTTTAATAAACTATGTATGCAAATCCAAAATTTCCCACGATACTCAAAACCAAGTAGAGTAGATTGTAAAAACTTTTTACAGTAGTTAGATGTACATTATAATCTCTAAATCAATTTGTTAAATGATACTTTACCATTATGTTTAAATATAATACTCTATCTCTGAGATACGTGCTTACTTAAAAGTCGGTTTTCATTTTTTTTCCTAAAAGTCATTATTTAGCCCTGAAGACTGTGGGGAAGAGCTTTAAAATGCAATCTGTAACTGCTCAGAAGCCAGAAGGCAAAGAAAAAGAACTTGTCTTTATTCCCTTCCCTCCACCCCCCACCCCAAAGTCTTAATTTTAAATCGGTCCCCTTGTTTTGGGAGCCCTAGCTTATGGTTTTTGAGCAGCTGGCAATAATGCAAATTGTCCACCAAAAAACCCCATTTGCATTCTGAACAATTTAAAGAGATCACTTTAATTGAAGAGGCAAAAGACTTGTTAAGCAAAGAAAATCCTTGGTTCTTTTAAGTTCTCCCAGCACTGCTGTTGAGTCATTAAAAGAAGGATCATGATGACCCTACATTAGGTCAAAATCCAGATGATTTTATGTAAAGGAAATGCTCAATTAGAGAGGTCTCAGAGCCCCCAATGTCTTGGATTCATAGTAGCGACTTATTAAGGGTAAGTGGTGCTGGCTAGTTTTGTATCCGTGACTAAAATAATTTATGTTGCTGTTCAGCAACCTTGCTTATGAAAAGAAAGCATTTTTAGAAATAAGATCTGTATTCATCACCGCTAATTTGCTGTAATTTCTGTGCTTCTCCCTAAAGCCACATTGCATTTCCATCACAAACAGCTAAGTGTATGATCGTTATAATGCCTTTAATAGCCATATTGTAGGTAGAAATATTAACTTCTCAGGGACTAATAGGAAATATGAAAATGGAGTTAATGAGCTGAATGCCTATCTGCATGAAGGCTTACTTTGCAAACGGCACCCTAGAAAACTTCTGATTGTAATGTGCATGACCATTATGAATGTTATCAATATACAGCTATGAGAGCTCCCTTTACCCTGTACTATTAGGCTGCTGAATGTCAAAGTATGTTGGATAAGGATAAATGAAGTTTTTTTGCTGATTTGGATAGCGTGATTATTTCTAATGGTGCTACCTTCTTGATTCCTGTGTTTATTCTTTGTAAAGTTCTCTCTGTAGGCTGGGTAAATCGGGATACTGGTGTAACGAGAAAACAGTATCATTCTTCTTAAGGAAGTGGAAAAATTTCAAGGGGAGAAGTACTCTAGAAGCAAAAAATTTCACTGCTGAAAACATCATGCATTTATTCTTCATTAGTTACAGATATCCATTTGGGTGGTTTTATTGGTAACAGTATTTTGCAATTCATTAATTTTGGAACGTCATCTTTTTGCACACTGATGTTTCAGTCAGCACGGGCTGAATTGGAGACTACTTTTGAAAATTTAAAAAAAATGAATCCTTGTATGAAACTTTGTATGTTGACGCTTGTTGTGCTGATGTGTGTATCTCCACCACATGACACCTGGATAATACATCTTTTATAAACTACATTTTATTGTTGTCATGGAAGATGTCCTTTTAAAAAATTCTTCTGCTTTGTTTAGCCCGTTAATATTTCATTAAGATTTATTTTCTTGAAAAAACATTCATAAATGCTTGACTCCTCAGAATACAACAGACTATTAGGAAA